CTTATACTCGAGTATATACGGTAATAAATCCATGAAATCTCTAAAAAAGGGAAATTAATTTATGGATTTTTATCTGAACAAAGCAATTATGATAAATCCATGAAATCAGTAAAAGAGATAAATTTATGAATTTTTATCTAAACTAAAAGCAGAACAACATTCCATCTGCAGTGGTATTTGCAATAATTACTTCAATTGTAGAATGAAATAGGAAGTTAAGAATCATAGAATATTGCTGAAACTGTAGACATTTATTCAGAGTTATTATAAATAAAATGGAAAGACACAAAACCCTAGATAATGCATTTTTAAATAGTTATAAAGACCCCAGAACTATTTTACATGATACCCAATCTCTTTTGTCCCTAAGTATGTTCAAGCTTCTAGGTTTATTTTTTCCATATACTGTTTTAGATTTCAGAATCTTTCAGTGCCCTCATCATTTATTTGTGGAGGAAAAACACAAATGCTTTTTAGCACTAGATCTGTGATGGCAAACCTATGTCACACGTGCTGGAAGTGGCACGCAGAGCCATTTCTCCAGGCACGGCAGTCGTCACCTGTTGCTCTACCAGGTTTCGGTGCGCCAGCTAGTCTTTGTGTGCATGGGAGCACTAGAAACCAGAAGAACAGCTCCCGGGAGTGTATGCGTGCACTGGCCAGCTGGTCTTCACACGCACATTCCTGTTAGAAACAGGAAGACCAGCTGGCCCACGCATATGCATGTGTCGGGAAGCTAGCTTCTGGTTTCTGGTGCTCCCATGTGGACATGTGGGGGAGCTGCTCTTCCAGTTTCCGGCCCATGCTCCTGGTTTTGGCACCCGGTGCCGAAAAGTTAGCCACCATTGCACTAGATGATTCCAACAGAGTTTTCTAGTCAAATAATTTTAGTTATTAAGAAAGAAACAATCAACACAACTGAGGAAGCACAACTGTCTGGTAATATTAGCATCTTTGCTTATTTCAAATGAAAATAATTTTTTTCCATCAATAGTTGTAGTATCATAGTATAATCAATTTTCCAATGACTCCTCTTTTGGATGGAAATACTTTGATTTAGTTTCCTATATGAAAAGTGGGTTGGATTGTGTAAATGGCCTGTTTAAGGATTTTCTAGAACAAACTAGATTTGAGGGTCGCATCAGTGTTGTGTTTGACCTCAGGGGCGGGGTGTGTGGCCAGCATGACATCACTTGTGTTGGAGGGGCGCCTTTGGTGACCCAAGCACTCCGCCAGCAAAAATGGGTTCCTGAGCTCCATTTTCAGCTGCAACCCTCCACCAGCAAAAATGGGGCTCGGGAGGGCCGCACACAGCCTCGAGCTTCATTTTTGCTGGCAGAGGCACCGCTGTTTCCAGGACAGCCCTGTGGGCCAGATCTAAGCACTCCGTGGGCAGGATCCAGCCCCCCGGGGCCTTGAGTTTGACACCCCTGTTCTAGAAAAATATATGATAGTGACAATACAATCTATGCATGCTTGCTTCTACAGAATGTATGAACACTGCATCTTTAGGAATACTAATTTAATCATTTAAATCATTTAAACATTTCGTATTATCTTTAGTCTTTTTTCAATAGTTTGCAAATAATATTATAAAAACAGATTGGGTAGTATTACAGAAGACAGGAAAAATATGTTCTTACCACAGTTCTGTCTTTTATCTGCATTGCAGATTTAAAAGCAATAGTTGGAAGATCTTTATTTAAATAATTTAACCAATTCTCTAAGTTTTCTTTTGGTATCAGATCTAGGAGAAAAAACATGCAGAAGCTTGCTGAAAAATATGCTGTTGTGTGACAATCCATTGTTTTCAAACACTGAGTAAGAGGAGCACTATGTTAGTCTATGGAGAAAAATAAATATCAGAAGGAACCTGGCAGCCCATTTCCCAACTTACCAATTTTTTAAAAAGGTATTGGATGAAATAAACTGCAGCTCACAAAAAACCCTGCTTTTTAATAAAATTTGTTAGGCAGAAAAGATACTACCAAATTCCTCACGCCTTTTCAGGTTTACATCTAGAAAGCCACTGAGTTATGATTATTATGGCATCAACATTTGTGAGCTACTCACTAAATACTAAAAACTATTTGCAGTTGTATGTAATCCGTTGTTCTCTAAAGTCTTGGAGGATTATTAGATGTATATCGTATAAAAAACATTTCTGCCTACTTGCAGTAGGAAATTAATTAATTGCAGTAATGATTCCATGTCCTATTTGGATGCAATTTTAAAATAAAAATAAATGTTTAAGACTTGTGGATCCCATTATTTCTGTTCCTTTCACATTGAAAGTCCATTACCCATAATTGCTAACAAACTGCTCCAATTAACTAGTGCAAAGATAAGATTCTATTTCATTGGATTTAGATTTAGCCATGTTTCTCAAAAGTATTACAAGCAACATTATTTACTTCATGAAGCTACCCAGCATGAACCTATTAAAAATAGTTAACTATAGTCATAGATCTTGAAAAGTACAGAAATCAGTAAAGCTTATTAATTGATTTTATTTCACAATCAACAGATTTTAAGATAAGTAGACCAAAATAACACCCAACAGCCAAAAATAGCTGCTATTTCACACGACTGCTTGATTAACATAAAATATGTTCTTTGTTAAGTACAACATTGTAAATTTAGTAGTTAAAGAAAGGTACCATGCTCCAGAGGATATTCACAGCTATATATAAGTAATTCAGAGACAATTCTAAACTCTTCAGCGAACCAGATGTATTCTGAGCTTGAGATATATATTGAAGCAGATCAATACAAATTTGAGTTTTAAATTCAGCAGAACAGAATGAAGCACAGTTTAATCAATACTTCAATAAAAGCCTTTCCAGAGTCAGCTTTATTTCAGATTTTTTCAACACAGGGCCGCATTAAATGGGAGTAATACCCTGTGTGCCCGCCAGCAGCTTAGAAGGCAAAATGCTTGTGAAGATTTTCACAAGATCAAACACTGTGGGTACAATGTAGGCATTTCTAAAACATAAAGGATGAGAATGACTAGAATCAGCTAATGCCTCCTTAGCAGACAGAGTGAGCTCAGAGTTGGATCTGACAGTCTCCAGATGTAGGTCAGCACATTTTATAGCCTCCTCATAGCTCACATCCTACTGAAGAATTATTTAAATGATAATGTAATTAACAGCGCAGTCAAACTCTAAGTTTAAATACAAACCAGCCACTACTAGCGTTTAAGAAAAATGGCCTAGTCTCCTATCTCCATTTCTGAATTTCATACACGAGATCTTCAAATCATTGGACTTACCTGGCCTAAAGAATAGAGCTGAAAAGTGTATGTAAAAAAGCAATACTCATTTTACTTACCAATTTTATTTAAAACCAAAAGTATTTTTTTTCTTCCCTCAGACTGAGCAATAAGTTGTTCAACCTGTGGACATCTACAGCCTAGAGGATCTCTAGCATCCAAGATTTCAAGTATGACATCTGAAGCCTCAATTACCTAGAGTAATATAGAACAATATGGTATTTGAGACCATAAGACTAATTTACATTTGAAAGCTTCTGAGTAACATTCCCGGTACTATTTTGGCATCAAGCTAATTTAAGAGTAATTCAAATGGACTTTAAAAAAAGCTTCTCCAACATATTGAATACAACATTCCCTGAGGATTTAGTTTTCAGAACCGTGTCAAACTCACAGTATTTTTAATGGAAACCATGCTAAAAAAATGGTTGAGAACATTTAAATATACAGCTAAAGGTAATTGCAAATAGCTTTATAAAAAAAGTAGGATATAAATACAAATAAAATATGTACATGATCAAAACTTAATAAAATAAAAATAGCTTGGAATATATTTAGAATACTTTTATCACTGTATTTTTTTTGTCTTTGAATATACTGAAAAGCAGTATGGGGGGGGGGGAAATGGTATTCTGCTCAGATTGGGGAATTCCCCTTGTGCTCTCCTTTCCTAAATCCTCCATCTGCTCTAGGATAGGAGGAAGGAGGACACAAAAATGAAGCAGAGAGAATATTTTGCCAATCACGGCAAGGGATCATACTGGATGCAATAATGAATAGTTCAGAATATTATTGTCAGGTAAGAAATGCAATTTATGATTTCACAAACATATAAAACAACAACTTCTACATATTAATATTTCCATAGACTGAACGTTGATACTGAATATCTTCATTAAATGTATTTTCTCAAAGAGCAGCTGATTTATGTAAAGAACAAAGCAATTCTTTAAGCTACTGTGAGGTGTCAAACTAATAGCTCTTTTAAAAATAGAAGAAACATATCACATTTCTTTTATCTGAAAAACTTTCTCACCTTTTTCAACTCCCCACAAAATGATTTCTTTGAATTTTTTTGGACCTGCTGGTTAGATTTCATTTTTTGCTTTGTAGTTGATTTCTATAAAGAAATGAAAAATATGGGAAGAAAATTTACAAATTACAAAACCGGTATCATTTATAATAGTGAGGAGCAATGATAAAAAAATGTTTTTTTTTTAATTTACAGCATTTATATACCCTCCTAATCTAGACACTTGGCAGTGTGCAAAACAGAATATACTGCCAGTCCAACTAAAATACTTTTTAACTCATTGAAAAACAACCTAAAATGTAAAACTAAGTGCTTATCCACAATTCCTCATTAGGGGCCAAAAGTCTGCTGAAATACAATAGTTTTCAATGTCTTCTGAAACAGCAAAGGGAAGGAACCCAGCATCCTTGGGGAGCAGTGTGTTTGACTACATAGGGGGCTATTACAGCTGACCTGCCTTTTGGTCTATTTCTTTCCCCGTTACTTTCCATGGGGTAGAACCTTATGTTCATTCAGCCTAGATATTTAAAGAACATCACAGCGAGAAAATCCCTGCCAGTAAACATTGAATAAAGTTTTATTTGCAATAACTAGTATTTTGCATTAGGTTCCAAAATCTATTGGCGATCAGAGCAGCAAGAGCAGAAGAGGGGCTACTCTGCAATTATAGATCTTCAGTATAAGCTATGTTCTGCACCCGTTATAGGACATTGTCTGTAAAGGCAGCACCACATAGAGTGTATTGTGGGAATCCTATAATGTGGTCATTAAGGTATGAGTTAGTGTCACTAAGGCTTCCTGGTTCAGAACAGGTGGTAACTTGTGCATCATTGAAGCTGAACAAAAGCCCCTGACCAAAAAAATCAAGGGGGATTCTCAAATGTCAGATGTATTCCTTCAGGAGGAATGGGACCATAACTAGAACAACCATGGGACACAATATTTCCAGTCAGTCAAGGTGTTCACACAACCAGCATCTCCATTTTGCTAGATTTAATCTGAGCTTGGTTTTCCTCACCTAGTCCCTCTAGCCTGCGGATACAAGTTCAAGACTTTGAATAGAATCAGTGCACTGATAATACCGTACTCCAAATTGAATAATGATTTTTCCATAGCATTTTCAAATAGACACCAAACAACATGGGAAAGAGGGGTGGGCCTTGTACTTCATTCTAGAACAGCCATAGTCTGGATCACCCACCCCATGACTAGATACAAATGCAGAGGCTCACGATACAATTATTTTGAAAGAAATGAATGTGATTTTTCAAGCCAATGAACTATTTCTCTCCACTGACCAGCATAATCTGAGTGTAGTGCTTTCCTAAAAATTCATACCTTATCACCAGGATCCTTTTTATTTGCTTGTTGGTTGCGTTTCTTTTCTAGTTCCTTCTGACGAGCAAGTTTTTGCTTCTGTTTCAATTCTTCACGCTATTAGCACAAAATATAAATATGTTCTTATACACCATGACAATTACAACCCTCCTGACCTTGCTTTAAAAGTAAATATGGCCATTCTTCTAATGTTTATTTGGTTACTGCATTTCACTGTACAGGACTTTATACATTATTCACTGCATGACCCATGGCATAGATATCTTTAATAATTTTAGCAGATATAGATGTCTATACAAAACTACATATTACTTTTTTCTGTAATCCCAGCAAACACAGAACAATGGTTTTAAAACTCCAGAAAATACCAGTTCTGCTTTTAATAAAAAATGATTGATTGTCCAATTTTAAATTCCAGTTTGAGCTGTTTTACCTGTTGCTTCCTATGTTCAGCTTCCCGAAGAATCTCTTCTTTAAATGGGGCAGTATTTGGAACTCCAGGATCTTTCTTTGGCTTCCGGTGTTTATGTTTCTTGTCTTCTTTTCGAAGTTTTTTATTGTGTTCTCGTACCTATAAAACAGGGGTCTTCTTTTACTACTATGTATTTTTTCATCACTCTTTCCTTTTCATATAAAGATTTCAACACTTTCACTGCCACATATCCTTAGCTTGTAAGGGACATATTTTAATAAATATGGTGGGCAATTAATTATCAGAACACAAATGTGGCAAGCAGTTGCAGAGGAGCACATCTTTCAATGAAAACAGAAGGCACACAAATTTGGATCTAAGTGTACCTTATCTTTGCTATTTCGAGTCAGCTAGGGATGCTAAACAAAATACTAATTTTATTTTGATTTGTGCAGCTTTGAAAGTTTTTACTTGTACAGTCTTTTCTAGTCTTTATCAAAAGTATGACATAAAACTATAGGTAAAGGTAAAGGTTCCCCTCGCACATATGTACTAGTCATTTCCAGCTCTAGGGGGCGGTGCTCATCTCTATTACAAAGGGCCAGTGCTGTCCGAAGATGTCTTCGTGATCATGTGGCCGGCATGACTAAACGCCGAAGGCGCACGGAACACTGTTACCTTCCCACCAAAGTGGTCCCTATTTGTCTACTTGCATTTTTACATGCTCTGGAACTGCTAGGTTAGCAGAAGAAAATATAATAATATAATAATATATTTAAATATATTAATATAAAATTAAAATATAATAGCTTATTCCAAATCATGAATTCTAAAAACGCTAGTTTAAAACTGTACAGTTTCAAACTCTGTACCAAAGTATCTCAGCAAATTCACAGGGGCATTGCGGGATATTTTAAATTATTGAGGGAAACAGAGATACTCAATATTAGTTGACTACCATGAGTGTCATAAACACCAAAAAATAAACTTCTGTTTTAAAACAATTCTGCAATTTTATTTATAACAAAAATAGGTTAAGAAAAGCATGTCATTTTTCTACTTCTTTCTGAAGATAACTGATCAACTGATGATGACAAAAAGGGTAATTAAACTGAAGACAGGAGGAATTCAATAAGAATGGAAATGAGAAAGAAGGCGGAGCCACGTCGCCGCGTTACAGCTGTAATTTCGGGGCTCCGAAGTTACAGCTGATATCTTCGCCCCTGGTCGGTCCCAACGGACCTAAACCATCCCGTAGAGACGGTGATAGTAAGGGGCGCGTTCTGTCGATCACAGGGACACCGCAAGTCCCTGGTGGATCCAGAAGAAGCCCCTTTACCATCGGCGGAGAGGCAGCCATTAAGCTGCTGAAGCAGGGACAGCTCCGAAAGGAAGAGAAGAAAGAAAGAGAAAGTGTATCGGCTGGTGAGATTTATTTTTTTTTATTTGGGATAAGGACACCCTAGAAGAAGAAGGAATCTGTAAGATTTTTGACAGAATTTGATAAGATGGACTTAGTGGCGATTTTTTAGAAGATGTCAAAATGAGGCTTGGCTTTTTACTTTTTTTTTTTTTCTAGCGAACTTCTATTGTGATTAGTAATTGTAACCAGACTTGTTTTGTTTTGTTTTTTTCTATAATTACCTTTCCTTTTTGACTGTTTATATTTTTAATAGAGGCTTCCTTTAGTAATTTTTTCTTTTTTTTAAATATACACATATATATATATACATATTTTCTTTTTCTATTGTTTTTTTTTTTGGGGAGGAAGAAGGGGGAGTGGAGTTGAGAAACTTTGTAACTCTGCAACACTGCCAACTAGAGGCTTGAAAATACTTTACTTGAAGTTGAGAGAACTGTGAGAAACTCTCTCCCAAGGACACTGAGTTGATAAGATAGAGAGAAAAACTCTGGAGAATGTTTTCACAGGTGTCTCTTTGGGATTTCTACAATCAACTGAATGTTTGAAGCTTGGCTTTGAAACTTGTGGAGAAGCCATAATAAGAGCCTTGGATGTTTAAATAAAATGCAGTGTGATTTTTGCTTTACTTGTTGTTAGCTTTTATCCCTCCTCCTTAACCCTATAGTTTTTTGTAATATTTGTACACTTTTGCTTATTACTATTATTATTATTTTTCATTTTTTTTTTCTCTAAAGGGAAAGCCTCAGAATATTGTTTCTTTTTTCCTTTTTTTTTTCTTTTTTGGGGGGGACTTTTGTTTTTTTTATCTTTGTATGTATATACTCTTTTTTTGTGGCCATGTTTTTTTTTTTTCTTCTTGAGATTTCGCAATTGGATTAAGGTGTGAAGAACCTGAAGAATTTTTCTTTTCTTTTCCTTTTATTATTATTGTTATTTTTTTTAATATTATTGGGTTTTATTCTCCTTTTGACTATTGCAACTGAGGATTAAGGTCTAGAAGAACCTGAAGAAAGAAATTTTTCTGGTGGCAATTTTTCTTTTTTCCTTGAAACTTTTTTTCCTTTTTAAATTTTGGGTTTTTTGGTTTTTTTTTACTGATTTTTCTTTTTTACGTTTTTCCTTTCCCTAATTGGATTATAATTGTTACACTGCCAACTGGATTAAAAGAGTGGGAAGATTCCGAGTTATTCAAATGAGTAAGAAAGTTCTACCTTCTGGCGCATCAACTTCTGCTCCTGCCTCCCCATCAATTGGAGGACGACTTTCAACAATGGCGAAGCAAGATAAAGGACAAACGGATCTAACGACGGTTATGCAAGGAATTCAAGAACTTAAAATGAGTATTGAACAAAGGATGGGGAGTATTGAACAAAAAATTGAAAATATCCAACAGATGATGGCGAAGTATGATGAGAAACTACAAAAAATGGAAGAGAAAGACAATCAAAGAGATGAGAAATTGCAAAAATTAGAAGAGAAAGACAATCAAAGAGATGAGAAAATTGGAAATATTGATGACAGAGTGACAACGCTTGAACAAAACAAGAATGAGATGGTGAAGTGGGAGATGGATAGATCAGAATATTACCTCAGATTTCAAAATATAGAGGAAGAAAAAGGACAAGATCTTGCTGCAGTAATGATAGAAATCTTGGCTGGAGCTTTGGAAATAACAGAGGAAAAAATGATGGATGGAATAGATGAGATATACCGAGTTTTTACAAGATATGCATCGAGGAATAAGTTACCAAGAGAAGTTCATGTTAGATTTACTAAAAAATCTATCAGAACGCAGATATTACAAGCGGCAAGAGAGAAGACATTGAAATATGGAGATAAAGAGATCGGGGTTTTAAAACAAGTACCCAGAAAAATTAGAGAGGTGAGGAGAGAATATCGTTTCCTGACTAAAGTATTATTGGAAAAGGAGGTGAATTACAGATGGTTGATTCCAGAAGGATTAATGGTTACATGGAAAGAACAGAGATACAGAATTGGCTCAATTGATGAAGCAGAATCGTTTTATAAGGAATTTTTTAAAAGAAGAGAAACAGAGATAGAAGAAGAGACTACCTTAACTGAATTTCAAGAGGACCAAATAGAGATGGGAAAAGAAGAAGGTGCAGTAGGTGGACAAGTGGAGACTAAAGAACAACGTGAAGTAAGATCAACGAGAGCCGTTAGACCTAAATATAAATCATAACTATGGAGGAAAAAAAATTGATTTCTTTGAATATAAATGGACTGAATTCAGCTACTAAAAGAAGGAAAATTTTTCATAAAATAGAGAAATTAAAATTTGATATAATTTGTTTACAAGAAGTACACATTAAAAAACAACATCAACAATTATTGGTGCGACCAAAAATAGGGAAAATTTTTACTTCTTTGGCCCAGTGTAAGAAAAGAGGAGTGGTATTGTATATTAAAGAAACCATTTCAGCAAAATTGATTTATACTGATGAAGATGGAAGAGTATTAATGGTTGAAATAGTGGATAACAATACAAAGATACTTTTGGTTGCAATCTATGCTCCGAATGATAAACAAAAAAGATTCTATAAAAAGTTACATATGAAAATAATTGAACTGGACTACGCTAATATATTTATAATGGGAGATTTTAATGGAATTGTAGACAATGAATTGGACTACACAGCAAAAATAACACGACAAAATAGGAAGATCCTCCCTAAATCCTTTTTTGAAATGATAGAGGAATTAAATCTAAAAGATATATGGAGAGAAAGAAATACTAAAACTCAACAATATACTTTCTACTCGAATAGACATTCATCATGGTCCAGAATAGATATGATCTGGACGTCAACAGAATTATTATCTAATATTCAAGAAATAAATATTGAAACAAGTACATGGGCAGATCACAACCCAATGACAATTAAATGGAAAGGACAAAAAAGAAGATCTAGATGGACATTAAATAATACTATTTTAAAGGAAAAAGATTTTATACAGTGGATGGAAAAGGAACTGGCCTTCTTTTTTAATGAAAACAGAAAAGAAGATACTTCAATACAGAATGTTTGGGACACAATGAAGGCATATGCAAGAGGATTGATAATGGAATACACAAAGAAAAAAAATATTAGAAAGAGGCAAATGATTAAAACTTTAGAAGATGATTATAAAAAATTGGAAAAAGAATTACAGAGAATGCCACAGAAAAAAGATATTAAATTTAAAATGGATATAATTAAACATAAGATGGATCAAACAGAGAAAGAAGAACTGGCGCAAAAAATTAGAAGTGCTAAACAGAACTATTTTGAGGATGCAAACAGGCCAGGTAGATGGTTAGCATACAAACTGAGAAAAGAGAAAGAATCAAGGAGAATACCACAGTTAATGGATGAACAGGGTCTAGTCTGTCATGGTAATAAGGAGAAAAAGAGAATTATTCGAGATTTTTATGCGCAATTATATAAGCAGGAGGATTTTGATGAGGGGAAAATTAAACAGTATTTACAAAATGCCAACCTACCCAAGATATCTGATGAAACTGGGAAAATGTTGGAAAATCCTATAACAATGATGGAATTAACTGAAGCACTTAATAGACAGAATAACGGGAAAGCACCAGGACCAGATGGTTTCCCGGCAGAATTTTATAAAACATTACAAGAATCACTGAGCATTTCAATGTTAGAAATTATGAATGAAGTTATGATAAATAAGAAAATACCTAAAACATGGTCAGAAGCTTATATTACGCTTATTCCAAAAGAAGGGACTGACCCATCACAAATTAAGAATTATAGACCTATTTCTTTATTGAATGCAGATTATAAAATCTTTGCTTCAATTTTGGCAGAAAGGCTTAAAAAATACTTAAATAATTTTATTCATCCTGATCAGAATGGATTTCTACCAAAGAGACAAATTAAAGACAATATGAGAGTAATTTTGGACACTTTGGAATATTATGAGGCACACCCTGAAAAGCAAATGGCTTTGATATTTTTAGATGCTCAAAAGGCATTTGATAACGTGAATTGGAGATTTATGTTATTATTATTGGAACAGATGGGTTTTGCTAGAAAATTTATTCAAGCAATAGAAGCTATATATTATAAGCAAACAGCAAAAGTGATGATAGATGGAGAATTTACAGACTCTATCAATATTAAAAAAGGCACAAGACAAGGATGTCCACTATCCCCTTTGTTATTTGTATTGACTTTGGAAGTATTAAATAGAAATATTAGAGAGGATACAAATATAAAAGGAATGAAAGTTAAAAAGGAGGAATTTAAATTGCAAGCCTTTGCAGACGATTTGGTCTTTATTCTGGAAGATCCTTTAGAGACAGCTTTAAAACTACTGGAAAAGATAGAGACGTATGGTGAGATGGCTGGCTTGAAAATAAATAAAGACAAAACAAAGATTCTGACAAAAAATATGTTATTAAGGCAAAGAGAAGAGTTGGCAGACTTATTGAAAATTCAAGTTACGAATAAAGTTAAATACTTGGGGATAATTTTGACGTCAAGATGTACTACACTGAAAGAGAATAATTATATTAAACTTAAACAGCAGATAGCATCTGACTTGAAAAAATGGGAAAATTTACAATTATCTTTGATAGGTAGAATCTCAACAATTAAAATGAATATTTTACCCAGAATTTTATATTTGTTTCAAACAATACCAATTAGGCTTGGTAAAGATTATTTTGATGAATTAAATAAAATGGTGTTGAAGTATATATGGCAAGGTAAGAAAGCGAGAATAAAACTAAAACTTTTACAGGATGCTAGAACTAGAGGAGGATTTGGCCTTCCTAATTGGGAGTTGTATTATCAAGCTGCAAATTTAATGTGGGTTAAAGAATGGATAACGTTAAGAAAGTCTAGATTACTGGCACTGGAAGGACATGATTTATTATTGGGTTGGCATGCTTTTTTATGGTATAAGGGAACTAAATCGCAGGGTTATTTCAGAAGGCACTATATACGGGAATCGTTATGGTTGAATTGGGAGAAAATTAAGAAACAATGTTATTTGAAAATTCCAGTTTGGTTATCAACTATTGAAGCTTTTTCCTATCCCATAATTTATAAGAAGGAACAAACAGTTAGATATGGGGAAATACTGGATGAAAAGGGTGAACTTAAAACGATGCAAAAGCTAGAAGAACAAGATATAAAGATGAATTGGTTTTCATATGCGCAAATACACTCAAGGTATCTTAAAGATTCTAAAACAGAAGGATTCTATGATAAATTGACTGATTTAGATGGGATTTTGACAGGTGCTGATGAAAAAGTGATTAAAAAACTATATAGTTATTTGTTGGAAATTAAATTAGAGGAAGAACAAGTCAAAGAAACAATGATTGTTTGGGGGAAGAACTTTGGATATGGGATTGATTTAGAAAAATGGCAAAAATTGTGGTCTCAAAATTATAAAATGACAATCTCAGTAGCATATAAAGAAAATTTGTATAAGATGTTTTACAGGTGGCATTTCCCCCCGACAAGAATAGCAAGAATGTTCAAGAATAAATCCGAAAAGTGTTGGAAATGTCATCAGATCCCTGGCTCATATTACCATATGTGGTGGACTTGTGAGGAGGCCAGGAAATACTGGACTAGAATTCGCATATGGTTGGAAGAAATGACAAAAAAACATATAGATTTGAAACCAGAGATTTTTCTATTGGGAATCTTACCTGATACATTTAATAAAAATTTAAAGTATTTGATTGTAAATGTGTTAACAGCGGCTAGGATTGTATTTGCTAGAAATTGGAAGAGTGAGAAAATACCATTAGAGGAAGAAATTATTAAGAAAATATTGGAATGTGCTGAAATGAGTAGATTGACATTTGAAATTAGAGAACAAGAAGATAAACAATTCTATGAAGTTTGGGATCTTTTTTATCAATGGTTAGATAAAACAATATAATAATAGAATATATATATATTTTGGTTTTGATAATATTTTTAGAATATTATATTAAGATAGATTTGGTATGATTTTACGATTTGTTATAAATTAACTAAATTATAGTTATCTCGCTTAAGCATGAATTAGTTAAATTATAGTCAAATGATTGTTTAATAAGGATATTAGGATATATAATTATTGATTGATAATATGAGTTATTATGTAATATAATTATTATGATGACTATGAAATAGATGCACAAAAAGAAGTGATAAACCAACCGATACACTGTCTGTAAATTTATGAAGAATGATGATGTTCTTATGTTATGTTTTATGTTTTGTGTGTTTTTATTTGTTGTTAAAATCAATAAAACTTTAAAAAAAAAAAAAAAAAAAAGAATGGAAATGAAATAAAAAATTCCTGAAGCAAGAATTATACCACTGAAGTTATAGCATGAACTTTATGTTCTTTCTATACTTCTCATAAAATTATTCAAATAACCTTTCTTTCCTGTAGTGAACAGCTGTTCTCTGATTGTAAGCCAGGACAGACAACTGGGATACACAATGGGAACAGCAAAAGCCATACTTGTTTAAGCAGGAATTAATTCAAAATACATGTTTACCTTTTTCTGTATTTTATACCGTTTGTGGCAGGTCATACGCTTACTAGCTTTCTTTAACTCTGAAAGGCAAAAATGCAAAAATTTAAATTCTGTCACCATGAATGAATGTGTGCCACACTATTTTTCACAACTATGAATCTAGAAACATAATTTAATAAAGAGGAAAGAAAATGTCTGAATAGACCCAGATTACTTAGGTAATATTACATTTTTATCCTGCCTTTACACAAACACACAGAATATGATTAGGAATGCAATCTTTTCTCGCTCCACAGTACTCAAAATTTAAGTCTCCCGTTGAGTATTTTTGGATGAGTCACAATTGCTTATTGTCTGTGGTCATTAAAGTGACAACAGATAAATAATTGGCTGGCATAATATACAATGTCCTTGGCTTTTCCCAATGATTTTCCCCTTCATTATATAGATTTTAAGATTTTAAGTTTTCCCATTCACTGAATACTTTTTTAAACAAGCAGATCTCACCAGTACAAGTAGAGATTTAATTAATTCCTCTGAGAGCACAAGGTTATTTCAGACACCATACAGAACAACGAAATCCTTAGAAAATCAAGATAAGTGCAAATGGGACTGCATTTCTAGACTCTGCTTAGAATTTTCCTTTGCTTTTTGCTACTTAATTTTGCATCAGCTTTTTTTTTTGGGGGGGGGGGGGTGATGTCAGCAACCTATGTTATCCCAAAGGTGCTGTTCAAAAGGCAACTCGACTTTTTGGGGGGTTTTTTCCTCTTGAAAACGTTTCGCTTCTCACCCAATTCGGAAAGTGAAGAAGTTTTTTTCCTAAGAGGGCTAGAGATTGGAGAAGAGTGTTGGTCACATGGCTTGCTGTC